TCATTCTTTCTTTTCTTTTTCTTCTTCTTTTCATTCTTTCTCATTCTTCTTTTCTTCTTCTGAAAAGAAGAATGAAGAATGAGAAGAATGAAAAGAAGAATGAAAAGAAGAAGAAAAGAAAAGAAAAGAAGAATGAAAAAGAATGAAAGAAGAAGAAGAAGAATGAAAAGAAGAAAAGAAGAATGAAAAGAAGAATGAAAAGAAGAAAGAAGAATGAAAAGAAGAATGAAAATGAAAGAATGAAGAATGAGAAGAAGAATGAATGAAGAATGAAAAAAAGAAGAATGAAAGAATGAAAAGAAGAATGAAAAATGAAGAAGAAAAATGAAGAAGAAGAATGAAAAGAAGAATGAAAAAGAAAAATGAAAAGAAGAATGAAAAGAAGAAGAAGAATCTTCTCATTCTTCTTTTCATTCTTCTTTTCATTCTTCTTTTCATTCTTCTTCTTTTCATTCTTCTTTTCATTCTTCTTCTTCATTCTTCTTCTTCTTTTCATTCTTCTTTTCTTCTTCTTCTTCTTTCTTCTTCTTCTTTTCATTCTTCTTTTCATTCTTCTTCTTTCTTCTTCTTCTTCTTTCTTCTTCTTCTTCTTTTTTCATTCTTCTTCTTTTCTTTTTCTTTCTTCTTCTTTCTTCTTCTTTTCATTCATTTCTTCTTTCTTCTTTTCATTCTTCTTTCTTCTTTTTTCATTCTTCTTCTTCTTTTCATTCTCTTTTCATTCTTCTTTTTTTCATTCTTTTCTTCTTTTCTTCTTTTCATTCTTTCTTCTTCTTTTCATTTCTTTCATTCTTCTTCTTTTCTTCTTCATGAAAAGAAATGAAGAAGAATGAAAAGAAGAATGAAAGAATGAAATGAAGAAGAATGAAAAGAAGAAAAAAGAATGAAAAGAAGAATGAAAGAAGAATGAAAAGAAGAATGAAAAAGAATGAAGAAGAGAAAAGAAGAATGAAAGAATGAAAGAATGAAAAGAAGAAAAGAAGAATGAAAAGAAGAAGAATGAGAAGAAGAATGAAAAGAAGAATGAGAAAGAATGAAAGAATGAAAGAATGAAAAAGAGAAGAATGAAAAGAAGAATGAAGAAATGGAGTGAATGTCAGAGAACTGTCAGAAATAGCGGAGCTCTGCAGATAAGTGTATCTTAGCGGAGCTCTGCAGATACACTTTTTGCCGACTTGGAATTCTTCTTATTTTCATCCTACTTCTTCTTCTTCTTCTTCTTCATCCTCATCCTCTTCCTCAGAAGAAGAAGAAGATGAGGATGAGGATGAAAGAAGAAGAAGAAGAAGAAGAAGTAGGATGAAAATAAGAAGAATTCCAAGCCGGCAAAAAAGTGTATCTGCAGAGCTCCGCTAAGTGTATCTAGCTCCGCTATTTCTGACAGTTCTCTGACATTCACTCCATACAGCGGTTGAAACATTGTATCTATTTGTTTTTCCATAAATGGAAACAAATAGATACAATGTTTCAACCGCTGTATCTATCTGCAGAGCTCCGCTAAGTGTATCTGCAGAGCTCCGCTATTTGACAGTTCTCTGACATTCACTCCATACAGCGGTTGAAACATTGTATCTATTTGTTTCCATTTATGGAAACAAATAGATACAATGTTTCAACCGCTGTATGGAGTGAATGTCAGAGAACTCTTATTTTCATCCTACTTCTTCTTCTTCTCTCTTCTTCATCCTCATCCTCAGAAGAAGAAGAAGAGGATGAGGATGAGGATGAAGAAGAAGAAGAAGAAGAAGAAGAAGTAGGATGAAAATAAGAAGAATTCCAAGCCGGCAAAAAGTGTATCTGCAGAGCTCCTTCTAAGTGTATCTGCAGAGCTCCGCTAAGAAATAGCGGAGCTCTGCAGATGCACTTTTTGCTTCTTTTCTCAATTCTCCTTCTTCTCATCTTCTTCTTCATCCTTCTTCTTCTTCTCATCCTTCTCTTTCTTCTCATCCTTCTTTCTTCTTCTTCTTCTCATCCTTCTTTCTTCTTCTCATCCTTCTCCTTCTTCTTCTCATCCTTCTTCTTCTTCTTCTCATCCTTCTCCTTCTTCTTCTCATCCTTCTTCTTCTTCTCTCATCCTTCTCTTCTTCTCATCCTTCCTTCTTCTTTCTCATCCTTCTCCTTCTTCTCATCCTTCTTCTTCTTCTCATCCTTCTCTTCTTCTCATCCTTCTTCTTCTTCTCATCCTTCTCCTTCTTCTCATCCTTCTTCTTCTTCTCATCCTTCTTCTTCTTCTCATCCTTCTTCTTCTTCTCATCCTTCTCCTTCTTCTCATCCTTCTTCTTCTTCTCATCCTTCTTCTTCTCATCCTTCTCCTTCTTCTCATCCTTCTTCTCATCCTTCTTCTTCTTCTTCTCATCCTTCTCTTCTCATCCTTCTCCTTCTTCTCATCCTTCTCCTTCTTCTCATCCTTCTCCTTCTTCTCATCCTTCTCCTTCTTCTCATCCTTCTCCTTCTCCTTCTTCTCATCCTTCTCATTTTTTTCTCCTTCTTCTCATCCTTCTCCTTCTCCTTCTTCTCATCCTTCTCCTTCTTCTCTTCCTTCTCCTTCTCCTTCTTCTCATCCTTCTCCTTCTTCTCATCCTTTCTCCTTCTCCTTCTTCTCATCCTTCTCCTTATTCTCATCCTTCTCCTTCTTCTCATCCTTCTCCTTCTTCTCATCCTTCTCCTTCTCTTCCTCCTCATCTCCAAGGGCGAAACCCTTTTTATAAGTTCGAATTTCTTCCTCAAATTCGGCGAATCAGCCGAATCGAATTTTTGAATAATTCGCTCATCTCTAATTGACATCAAACAAACCACAAATCCCATGAATCCAATAGCAGCTGCACATGCATGGTGACCTAATATCCAGCTCCACTGTCCGCATTTCATCACATATGACATCATGAGGTACAGAAGGGACGCCAATCACCTCATCCTTATATAATTAAAGCAGAAAAAATACAAGAAACTGCTCTCACTAATAAAAGTGAATTGTTGCACCGAACCTCATCTTGTATAATAATGTATCAGCAGTATGATCTCCTTGAATTATTAGAACCATAGGAATGCGACAATGTACCACTCATTATTCATAAATTACACAGACCCCAAATTACCTAAATGGTTGACTAATTGTTCTTAGGATTCTGGCGGTTGCCAACTCCTTAACAACCAATGACTCATCCCTACTGCTGACAGCACGGATGAGTCACAGTAGTAAACCCGCATCTCAGAATCACATGTAAACCACATCAACTTGCAGGACAGCTGCCCCTTTAAATCACACTGAAAACAGTATTTAAATCGCACTGCATCAGTGTGAACCTAGACTAACTGACATCTCTAAGATCATTCCTTTGATCTGCAGATGAATGAACAGAAAGATGCAAATGTAGAAATATGTTACATTGTATCTTTATATAATCATGGTCTGAAACACTGTTGTTTATAACCACTATCAGACTGATCCTTTGACAGCTATAGCTGCTGACTTCTGTGATATATTGTAACGCCAGCAGAGAGGGAGTGCCAGAAGCAGGGCAGACCAAATGGACATGCTACACATGCCCTGTGTATGATTAAATTTTTTTGGACATGTATAGCAGGCCTAAAGTCTGCAACTACTTAAACATCAGCAAAAAAGGTAGTAGTCATGTACTGGACTATTATATGTAAATATAGTTTCTGTAAGTGACAAGAGCAGAAACAATAGAACCATAATTCAAGAGCTCACAGTCCCCAAAGAAAAGCACTCAAATTAGCATTCAGACTTTCACTATAATGGCATTGGTAGCCAGACACGTCAGACCTCAAGAATCTTTATTGATCCTGGCAAAAAACAACCCTTGCTGCATTTCAGTCAGTTATTAGCACAAAAGGTAGTTTGATTGTATATTTATTTTCTTAGGTAGCCATTTTTAAGGGGTTGCCACTTTAGCTATTTATAATAGACTCACAGACCACTGTAGCTGACATCAACAAAGACAGAAGCAGAGGGCAACACTGTGTTGCTAAGAAAACATGCATTGATTACAAAGTTAGAAACCTCCTTAGGGATGGCATAGCAGGCTCTTCAAGGTATCTCCAGTTCAACAAAATACCCCACCCTATTAGGTAAAGCTGAAGTCAATATTTGAATAATATAGTGTCTTATTTGTTTCAGAGATCCTAGGTTCTCTAGAAGATAGTTGATGATATATGCAGGTACCTTGAACACTGCTGCTATTACAACTCAAAGTCATTTTCTGTAATAACTTTTGCCAAATAGGTGTTATTGCCAAATAGGGTCTGTCCTTTCCCTGAATTACAATCTGAGGACACAAAAACCAACACTGCCAAATATTTTCTTCTATTTTATTTAATTTTAATAACCAGTGTATAGTAGATCAAGCATAACTTCTCCTAGGAGAGGAGCAGGGTCTGACAGTTGGCGCTATACACAACTAAAAAAAAAAAAAGTTGATTAAAGACAAAAGATATTGTCTTGTATTCTATGCTATTAATAAATGGGCATGAGTTCCACAGATTTCAGAATGGAAAGGTCTATACTAGAAACAGTGTGACATTAAACACCAACTTTACTATAGGAGGTGTGAGAAGTTTGTGTACATCACTTTGATTCTTTTGCTAAAAGGGATTTGCCTTGTAAATGTTTTTATTAAAAGATGTTAAATTAAAATTGTCACATGAAATATGTAGGTGCTTTCATGTATTAAATTTACATCTAATTTTTAATGGTGCAAAAAAAAAAAAAACCCAATTTGAAATGAAGAACAGGATATTTTTAGATTTTCTAAAGACTTAAGAAAATAAAAATATTATTACATTACGGACAGCTAAAATTGCAAGTGATTACCATTAAACAGCATCAGTCAAGTTCCTGAGAAATGGAAATAGGTAGACTTACCTTATGTTGCCAAACTGGACATAATTCATGATATTGAACTCAATGATTAAACATGAATTGTCAGTTTAAACTGAGTTAGTTGTATTGTGTTACAGTTGTTTTTTATACTTACATGTTATTTTTGTCTTTCCAGACCCCAGCAGCAATGTTACTTATGCCAATGTGATAATGCCAACTGTGTTTGGAATCATTTGTTTGTTGGGGATAATTGGCAACAGCGTCGTCATCTACACAGTCTTCAAAAAGTCCAAGTTTCGGTGTACCAGCAGTGTTCCTGATATTTTTATTATTAATCTGTCAGTGGTAGACCTACTTTTTCTTCTTGGAATGCCCTTCCTAATCCACCAGCTACTTGGTAATGGAGTGTGGCACTTTGGTGAAACCATGTGCACTCTTATTACAGCGCTGGATACCAACAGCCAATTTACTAGCACTTACATACTCACTGCCATGTCTATTGATCGCTACCTTGCAACAGTTTATCCTTTCACATCAGCAAAGTATCGTAAGCCTCCTATAGCCATTATGGTCATCTGTATCCTTTGGGTATTGTCTCTCTTAAGCATCACACCAGTATGGATGTATGCCAGACTTATTTCACTTCCTGGGGGAGTGTTGGGATGTGGAATCACACTCCCCAATCCAGAAAGTGATATTTTATTGGTATACCTTGTATCAATTCTTTCTTGCCTTTGCCATACCTTTTGCAGTCATCTCTTTAGCATATCGGAGAATTCTGCTAAAGATGGCATCGTCTGAAGCCCTCACAGCCCAAAGGAGCTCCAGGATACGTACAAAGAAAGTGACTAGGACTGCTATAGCAATTTGTTTGGTGTTTTTCATTTGTTGGGCTCCATTTTATGTACTTCAGATAATCCAGTTGGTTATGGACCAACCTACATTAGCCTTCCACTATGCTTACTGCGTGGCAATCAGTATGGGCTATGCAAACAGTTGCATCAACCCTTTCATCTACATTATTTTATGTGAAACATTTAGGCGTAGGTTCATTGTCTCTGTTCGGCCAGTAGAGGATCACCCACAAGGCAGGATCAGGATGAAATTTGGCACCGATCCCCCTTCAGGAAGTGGACAGCCATTACTTCACCTTGTCCCTGTATCCTCAGGCAGCTAATCATACCAGGTGTATTTACAAAATTGACTTCAATTCTCTTTTGTATTGAAACAAGTTGTCATTTTAAGGAGAATACTGATAAGAATGTACCAAGCTCTGCTACAAAAACCCCATGCCATGTATTAATTAGGGTAAACTCTTGTAGCTCACCATTTGCACAGTTTAATTGTTTGTGTACTTATGTTAATTGAAAACAAACTGCTTGCTGTAGACTTCTCTTTCCTATGTTCTTGAAGTTCTCATTTTCTGCACACAAAAAGAATGTAAAAATGCTTTCACTCATCACAAGCCTGCTTGTATGGCAGTTTTTTTCGCAATTCATACCCATGACTCTCCACTTGTGCACATTTTCTATTTCCAACAAAACAAAATGTCAAAATGTATTTTTGAAGTTATTTTTTTTTATCCTTTGTCACAATGGTAGAGTCAGTTTGTCATCTTGAAAAAGACAGAAAAGACGCGTATGTCATATATAAGAACTAATTAATTGCTGAAAAACAGCATTGTCCTGTATTGTGTCTAAGTTATAGTCCAAGCCTTTAGCCATTGGTGATGTTTTATGGCAATTGAAGTTAATCACATATATTATTAATTACTTGATAATGTGGAGTTTGCCAACCAGATTGACTAAGGAATGTTAAATGTAAAATATCAACTGGCCACAAACTGATATTATTATCACAAGAATTGTGTAGAAATTATAGTACTGAAAGTCCCATTTGATATGATAGACAGGTGCCTTAAGTCTCAAGTATAATTTTTGGGGGGTGTTAAAGGGATTTACCATTTTTACTAGTGAAAATAGAAAATATAATAACAAAGGATTAGAGGGCGTATCCTTGGTTAGACCCTTACTGGTCAGTCAGTTGGTCTCTGTCATTTATAATTTAACAAGAGGTATGTGGCATTCATGAAGCTGCATGGCATAATTGGTTTCCTCTTTATTACTCATTGAATGTAACATCTGAACAGCAAAGACAGGCAACCAGCAAATCTTCAGCTGCTATGGAACTACAGGTCCTAGCATACAGTAATTTGACAACACCCATACGTCCTTTTAGTTGAAAAGTCATGCTCAAACTTGTATGTTCACTAAAGCTGAAGGTCTGCTGTTGCCTATCACTGGTCTAACAGAAGACCTGCCTGCGTGAACTTTAGGGTCCAATCACACCAGAATGTTAATGTGCATTACGTTAAATCAGTCTATTCATTTGAATGGCTTGGCAATACTCCAAAATGGAACAAAAAGTGTATATGTACCATTTTTTGTGATCAGGGCACCACAACTATGCATTGTGGTGTGTTGCATCACATGTGTGTCATTACTGCCCTGCCTCCCAACCTCATCCAATCAGAGAACACTTTGCTTTCATTCAGAAAATGCAAATCAGTCTCTGAATGGTGCTGGTGCAGAGTGACCAACCTCCCGTGTTCAGAATGCAGCAGGGCAGCCACTCGGCACGGAACCTGGAAGCAAGTGTAGACCACTGGAGCAACTTGTCTATTCCAGGAGGATCATCCAGGTATGGCATATATATTTGTACAAGTTGGATCAATGTAACTGTATATGGAATATACATGCCTGGAAATCTTATCTATTGACCAGCCAGATTCAAACTTTAAGGAACCAAAAGGAAAAGTATGACTGGTTGGCAGGATCAGTACAGAAAGATCTTTTCTTAAGTTGTTAAATAAGTGTAATTTTATCAAAACCTGAGAGGACCAGGGAGACATTTTTTATACAAATGTTAATTATGCCTCATGGAAATGTTTGATATAAACCAAAAGACAGAACACCGGCTAGAAATGTAAAATTGTAATTATTTTGATATTTTTCATTCTCATTAAAAGAGGAAGACTTCACAAAACATGTATGTGTTCTAAAGCTCTTCTATAATAGGATCATCGGCACATTAACATAAATAGCCAAACAGTGAAAGTGGGTGCAAGTAATTACATACAGCATAGAAAAAAAGGTAAAATTGAATTTGCTGTTTGATCACACAATAAATGGGAAATATATGTAATCTAAGAGACCTTTGACTGTGGAAAGATTGTTGCTACATCATTTCAGAACCTGCTTACTTTCTGGAAATTTTACAGAGTACAGTCCCTTCTCTATAGAGAATGATTAAAACAAATCCACTGAGTGGCAGTTGTGTATGGTAAAATGACTGGATTTGTTTTTAACTACAGAAAGTCCACAATCCCTTATGTACGCTTACCTTACCTTTTGCTAAGCTTACCCACCTCTGAAAGGTGAACTGCAATGGATCACTTTTGAGAGGTATCACAGATACTTGTAGACATTCAGTAGGCACTACTGCTGCCTCCTGGTGTTTGGTTTTTTTTTTTCTTTTTTTTAGTTTTTTCTTCTAATTGCCGAATGGCACATTTACATTACGGAACTACACCACACCTGCAAGTCAAAAATGTGGTTGCGGTGTGGCCCTAATGATCTCAATGGGTGAGTTTGACAGGTAATGCAATCTACATCCTAAGGCTGGCCATACACTATACAATTCTCTGTCCAATTTCTGCCCAATTTCCTTTAGGTTTATCTTCAACTATGTAGTGAAAGAGCCTGCCTAATTGGATACAATTGAAAGTGTTGTTAGGTTTGATCTCCTATTATATGGTTTTTGGTAAATCTAAACAAAAAATCTCAAGAAAATTGGGCTCTTGTTCTTACTGCCTCTTGGCTGCCAGAGTGAAAGAGCTCTAAGACAGTTTATCCAAAAGTGATCTTTAAGCTATATGTTTGTATTAAATCATCTGTCGTGGAATTTCAGTGGTGAAATCTACTTGCCAAAGTTCTGGGTGCATTTTATGTCCACGTTCAGGTGTTCCCATCTGCATCCAAGTGCCCACATTCATTTTGTTTCCTTCTTCACAATTAAAAAAAAAAAAAAATCAACAGTGAGACTGGAACTCCTTTGCAATGGCCATGAGAGATGTGCAGACCTGGTAACTCAGTTGTTAAATCTCGCCAAAAGAAATATTACAGGATACACCAAGAACTGAAATATCTTTAATAAAAGATACAATTGTATCTGTTTCATGAATTAAAAAAAGTACCCTCTGACAGAAATGTGTAATGTTGTATATACTAGACATCATAAATAAATAATACAAAACACAGTTTCTAACTGATCTGTACTACATCAAATATACATAAAGACAAGAGATTGGGGATAGAATTATAAAAATAGTCACCTTTCACAAATCTAGACCTGGCACATTCCAGTAGCTGGGATGTCCTATGCCCTACATTTCACTCAACCTTTGTCTAGGGATGTTTTAATGTAATAAAATGCTATTTCAAATCAATGTATAGTATACAAAGCAAAGTTTTAAGAATGGAATGTATGGAGCTGTAGAAATGCTATAAAATGACAGTGGTTACAGGAGGCAAAAGGTGTTTTCTCCTATGAAGCTAGTGAGCTCTGAATTGTCATTGATATATGTATAATTATTCCTTCTAAACTAGATGAAAACACTATCTGGGTCACATACTGTATATGTTGGTATTCTTCCTTGCTCTGGGCATGAACAATTTATATGCTTCCTTCCAATATGTGAGATGGATGAAGCTGCCTGCACTGTAAACAATATAGGAAAAGACAGGAGCAGAGCTTTCACGGTAACAGAAATCCAACACATTACTGACATGTTGTCCAACATTTTATTTGTGCTGGGCAGTTTCAAACTACTCTGTCAATAAGGGGCTTCATAGTGGAGATGTACAATGGTGCTTGCATTATTTATAGTGTATTGGGACACTACATTCATCTGTTTATGTCTGCTGCAGGCCAGTGTATCGAGTCATAGTTGGAGCTGGATTGAGACAAAACAGATTATTAGCTTTGAGCATCCCATCTTAAGCCACTTTCTATAGGAGTACCCTGTTCACATATTACAAAAAATATAAGAAACATACCACACAAAATATTTAACCTCAAAGTCATCTTCCATATTACTACTTTATTCCTTGATTAACTGTAATCCTTTTCACAAGTTTATCCTTCCTTACAGCGCATTAAAATGTAAATGATCCCCACCTTTCATTGAAAAATAAACAATAGTGCTGCACTGGTTAATAAACTACAATATACCTAATCACCCATATGGAAAATTAGCTAATTAGGAATATATATTCAAAATAACATGAATAAAAACACATATATATATATATATATATATCTATATATATCTATCTATATCTATATATATATCATATATATATATATATATATTATACAGTTGTGACCAAAATTATTCAACCCCCACTGAAATTGAGTGTTTTGGCCAGTTTGACATTGCTTTTGATCATTCAGTCATCTTGCTTACATTTACATTAAAGAGGCACTTGTAGGTCAGACAAATATAACATAACAGTTATAATGAAATAACACAAATGTCTTTTCTGTGCTCACAGCATTATCAGTTTTATTCAACCCCCAAGTGACATTCAATCTTAGTACTTAGTACAGCATCCTTTTACAGTTATAACAGCTTTTAAAACGTGAAGCATAGCTTGACACAAGTGTCTTGCAGCGATCTACGGGTATCTTCGCCCATTCTTCATGGGCAAAGGCCTCCAGTTCAGTCACATTCTTAGGCTTGCGCACTGCAACTGCTTTCTTTAAGTCCCACCAGAGGTTCTCAATCGGATTTAAGTCTGGTGACTGCGATGGCCACTCCAAAATGTTCCAGCCTTTCCTCTGCAACCATGCTCTAGTGGACTTGGAGGTATGCTTGGGATCATTGTCCTGTTGAAAGGTCCAACGTCTCCCAAGCCTCAGGTGTGTGACGGACTGCATCACGTTTCCATCCAATATCTCCTGGTACTGAAGAGAATTCATGGTACCTTGCACACGCTTGAAGCTTCCCTGTACCTGCAGAAGCAAAACAGCCCCAAAGCATGATTGACCCTCCACCATGCTTCACAGTAGGCAAGGTGTTCTTTTCATCATAGGCCTTGTTCTTCCTCCTCCAAA